ACTTTCCCCCACTTCAATAATTCCTTACACTTTCCCTTCTTTTTCAAAATGGTGGACCCCACATGTCATAAATTTACTTTATCTACATAATATTTAATTTAATAAATCAAAATAATTTATTTTTAAAAAAGTAACTTATATTTACGGAGTATTTTTTAGTTTTATAGTGTGTGTGTGTGTGTCACAAAAAATTAAATTGAATAAAAAAAATTTGTTGTAAAAATAATTTCTCATTATAAAAAAAATCTCTCTCGCTCTAAGTAAAAGAGGCTCGTCAAGGTCAACTTGACAATCAGTTTTCAAATCAATATAAGTAAAAACTGGTTAGAATTAAAAAATTAAAACTATATACCGGAGTATTAAAAAAATATATCAAAAGTTCTACAAAACAAATGGTGACAAGGTTATTTTATGTTATCAAATGATTGATGAACATGTATAAAGGAAGTAGAGTCAGTTGGACCTATGAATAGTAATTACGAGTCATTTTTGGGATAGAGGGAGAATTATGAATACGTGTTGATTGGGGGCCTTGGTTGCTTGCAGACATTGTGCGCACATGGAAGCCCTGTTTTGGTCCCGATGAGCAAACAGATTCGAAGGTTATGGTGATATGGGTCAGATTTCCAGGACTACGAATGGATTACTATCAAGATTGCTAGCGCATGGGAAATTATTAGCGAAACCAAGTGATTTGATAAAGTGACTAAGGAACAAGATGTCGAGATCAAGGGCGTTTTGCTCGAGTTGCAGTGCAAATTGACCTTGACAAGCCTCTTTTACCAAGAATGCACACAGACACTTAGTTTACTAGACCCATTTGAAATCTCATTTTTTTGGTTTGATACCATGCATATACCGTTTCATACTAGGCCGGTATTTTTGCCCGCCACTACTTTTTACCTTTTTTTGGGAAAAGTATACATTTCTTTTACAAACAAGTATCTACGTGTCTATGTGTCCCATCCATAATTATTTCTAGATATGAGTACTGAAAACCCAATGTCGCTAGACAACTTGAAGCGAATGTTATAAAAATTATCTTATGAGGGAGATCTATGTACTCTATATGGATGGATTATTTTATATAGAATTTAAGGCGTATTAGAGTAAAAAACTTTTTCTGGACCTACACCCATAAGCTTGAGTTTTTTTGGTTGTGTAGGTTCTTTGACATAGTATTGAAGCTTTAATGACAAAGAGGTCACAAATTCAAACCTCACCGCCACCCAGTTTTAAAAAAATTAACTTAATGTGCAAAGATCGAGCAAATATAAATCTTGCCTACGCATGAGGAGGCGTGTTAAAGTGTAAAACCTATCTTGGGCCTACAACCATGAGCGTGAGTTTTTGGCTGAATTGGTTCCTTAACATGATCTCAGAGCCAATTTTAGCTCACCTCATTTGTAAGGTGTCCGTCTACAAGTTCTTTCCTAGCGACCCATTAATCTTTAGCCGAGTTGTTTGTATGAAAAACGGCCCGTGGCCCATATTACCCAATTGTTCGCATAGAAGTCCATACCCAGCGATTTGCGATTCTTTAGGTGTTGGCACTTCCAATCCTTTCATTTCCTAGTTCCTGGGGAGGGGAGTCTATTTGCAAGTGGTCAACCGGTTAAATTCAAAATGTGCTCCACTTGAGAATGAGTATTAAAGTATCCCACATCGGAAGTTAAAGAGAAAAGTAATTGATATATAAGGTCTTGAATTTGAACTAAGTAATTAATTGGATTCAACTTTTTTATGTGGTTCAACCCAAGTGTCTTATGGCCAATTACAGTGATCCCTACCCCGTTTCAAATTTTATCAATTTTCATTTGTTGGTTCCAAGACTCATGTTATTCTTCTCCTTGATCAATACACTACTTCACATATAGAAAGCAAAATGCACATGAACTATAAGAAATATAATTGGTATTGGGTATGCGATGGATGTCAATGCTTTGCGTACCTTCAAGTAAATGTGTAAAACTAATGTCGGCTGATACACACTTTTTTTCTTCTTTTATGTTTGGTGCACCATTTAAAAAAAACAACTTATCTAGTTAATGCTCGGTTTAAGAATAAGTAGAATATAGCTACCAAACGGGCCTAAATATTTCAAAAACAATAAATTAGATATTTAAAATGGTGCATTTATGTTTTCAATAACTGTAAAACCAAATATGAGAATAATTCAAATTTTTATAGGTCAAATAGTAAATGAGAAGACATGCAGCTATGTATATAAATATGGGGAATTTAACTAAATAGTACGAAAACATAGTGACTTTTCTAATGCAGTACTATATGTTTTTATTTCCCAATGTAGTACTACTGTTCAATGTCCACTGGTCATTGTTCAAGTAAATGTCCACCGCCACCGGACATTATTCAAACTAAATGTTCATCATCAATCGACATTGTTCCCGCCACTAGACATTATTCAAGTACTATTTAAGGAATAAAAAAGTTTAAGTACTACATTGGGAAAGGACATATATTTTAGTACTATTTAGTGCAAATTTCATTATAAATATATCCTAACTTATACTCCATGATGTCCTACTCCGGGTATTCTGTTTAACCTCAAAAATCAGATCATTCACCATTTCTGGAAACAAATCGTTATTGATCATTTAAGGCAAAAAGGTTAGTACCCAGCAATAAAAATCAATCAAGATTAGTCACTTTCACAAGAAGAGGAAAAACTTAGAACCCAAACAAATGAGTGTTACTCTACTACTATGTTGGACGGATTCTTCAAATAAATGCATTTTTCTGTTCACAAAAAGTTCGGTACTTCATACTTGGTGCCGTCCAGCCACCCAAATCGTTTGTAAATTTCAGAAAAGTTAGCGGTTCCCAAACTCATCCATGTATGAGTATCCATCTCTGTCTCGGTGCAACTTAGCTCAACGGATGAGTGATGAGTAAGCTTCCAAAATTCAAAGATTGCAAAAGATGTAGAACACTTTAGGAAAGTCTCTGTTTCAAACAAGTCCATTTCAGAATCATTGATTGAGTGATCTTCATTTATACCAATGCACATGCCAAAAATGCAGTTTTTCACGCGCCACTTCAGGAAACACCAAATTGAAAACAATGAAATAAGGAAAATCAACTGACAACAACACCTCGCTCTCGGTAGGAAACAAGTAAAAGATTGAAACAAAGCAAGCAATTCAGTGAAATTCAAAAACTCGATCTGCAGACAGGAAATCATTCGCGTTTTTTGGAAATGATAGGAAATGGAACTTACCGGAAGAGGCAAGTCTAGAGACGCTACAGCCACCCCCTCCATCCGGCGACGAGATCCAGACCTCCGATCAGCTCAAGCCCGACGGCACGGCAGTGGGACGCCTCATAACAGCATCGTCTACGGCTTGATTGGGAATTATTGCTGATGAACCCTAGCTAGCTAGCTATGATCCACCAACCAACCACGCCCGAAACGGAAACCACGTTGTTGACGATGGCTCACACTCAGCAGCAGCTGCTGCAAATTGTCTTCAGGTGGACGAAGAACGAACAAAGTGTGCGGATAATTTATTCTAAAGTTATCTTGTTCAAGTAATTTACTCCGGGGTATCTTTTTATCTAGTTTGATGATGATGTCTCGTTTGGTCAGCATGATCCGAAGTTACCTCCACAGTCTACTCCCCCACAAAGAGTAAGGACGGTTAAATACTAGCTCCTCTTTGACTATTTGTTTACTTTTAATTTTTTTAATTGAAATTAATAAATTTTGACATCAACTTAAATAAAAATGATATTAAATATTGATATAAAAATAACTTTATTAGATTTATTATATCAAATAATTTTAAAATATTATTTTATATGATTAATATACAATATATGTTTTATTTAATTATAAGTCAAATGTTGAAAATAGTTGAGCAAAAAAGTTAAAACTGGACAAATACTCAGAAACAGATGTAGTACTACATATTAGGGAGTACTAAAATAGTGTTTTTGAAAATGATAAAGATGATATAAAAATTTTAATAGCACAAAAAAATTATATTAATATCTAATATCAAAATTATTTAATTTATTGGCAAAATTCATCAATTTTAACTGCAACAGGTTAAATATTGATAACTAATCTAGAATATAGGTAATAAGATATTTTTCTTATATGAATAGTTTGAGTTCAATAAATAGTCTTACACTATACGAAGTATATTTTAAATACCAGTGTGATTTTTAGCATTAAATTAGGCGTCAAAACTAACACTATGATACTCCATTCAAAACCGACTTTCCTCTTAGCAAATCGATTTTATGTAACCCGTCTGCTGGATTTTTATATTTGGCAAGTTTGAATTTTAGAAATTTGATTTTTGGTTCGTGAAAATCGATGTTCTTGTGATTGTGAGCTTTCCCAACAACTAGTATGTCTTTCATAAAAGAAAATCAACATTCCAAAAATCGCTTGTTTGTTAAGACAATAAGTATGAGTTTTTGGGTTAAAATAGGGTTCTTTATGTCTACTTTTCAAGACACATCACACACAACATTATTTTGTTATCTTTCTTTGCAAAAGTTATAGGATAGAGCATTTCTTGAACCATTTGATAGCCAATGTGTGTCGGTCATATCATTTATATTATATTTCTTTAACCTACTCATATAGAGTGTTTATATTGCATAGGAGAGGCATAAAAAGGCTATATATATTCTTGTCGAGTGTTCTGGTTCTTGCATAAGAGACATTTATAAGTGGTCATAACGGTTTTTAAGCATTCATAAGCTTAATGGATGTAGTAAAATCTTGAGAGTGTCTGTAGAAGACACTATTAGCTACAAGTAATGGAGAATCAGTAAACAAATCTTTGTTTTCTTCTTTGCTATTTTAATTCTGTATTTGATTTTACTCATGTGTTTTTATTTTACAAAAATTTACAAACATTCTCTTGACACAGAATGTACACCCCTATAGTATTGGAAATTAGCTCATTCTTACAACATGTGTCATGGTATGCGAGTATATTAAATTTTACATTGAATTATATTTATTGTTATTATTATTGCGGAGTTTTACATTTTTATATAGAGTAATCCTTTTAACTTTCTCACTAATAGTTTAAATTGTTTTGACCGGCGGTCATGTCATTTTTACTGTGAAAAAATGATAACGTAGTCTAACAAATCACTAAAATATGAATAAGTTCTATTTTGCATGGAAATTCGAAACTCACACACCTTTTTGGTGATATCTTGTTAATGAGAGAAATGTATTTCTGTTAAAAGTGAGTATACTGTGATTTTTTGTCAATGACTGCAAAAAGTCAAAAAATACAAATACTCATAGATGAAGGTAGTAATTTTTTTATAGAATCAACAAGTTTCGAATTAAATTTATCTACATAAAATCTCAATTGTTTTAGATACAAGTTTGTATTAAACAAAACATTTATTATTAGTAATAATTTTCAAGGAGTATTAATCTTTTATATTATATATGTTCGAACAAATATGATGTGAATTATAAGATGCTAAAACAACTACTCCCTCCGTCCTAAAACTTTCTTCCAGAGCACTATTTTAACTTCACGAGAATTTATATTTATTTATGTTTTTTCATTGCCTATATGATAAAATAAAATATTCTTGTCACCACTTATTTTATTGAATTTTTTATTTAGTTTTTAAATATGTATGTTTTATTTTTTATTTCTATACCAATATTTAAATAAAATAGATTGAAAAAACTTGGGATTTTTCTTCGTTTTGCGCAACAGGAATAAAGTTTTAGGACGGAGGAAGTATATAATTACTCTGTATTCTTTATGAAATTATTTTACTATTATTATTATCCTCCGAATTTAGAACTCATATTTTTTTTCAAAATTCAAAACCAATATAATTTAAAACATGTTTGGATTCACTAAGGCTACGTTCCATATGTCTGATCTGATTTGATTGTTTGAAAATCTAAGCTAATTGGATCCGATTTAGTCTGATCTGACTTAATTGGATCTGATCTGATATAATTAGTTAAGGGTGAGTATCGTACAGAATTTAGCTCGTATTGATATTGTACCAAATATTTTGGTCCAGTATGAGATTTTATGTTGTACCGATCTCGATACCAAAATTTTGGTTCGGTATCGATTTCGGTACAAATCGATATAAATATGTGAGTACCTAATTTATACTTTAAAATGTAACAAAAGACTTTATTTTTGAAAATTAAAAAAATTCATTTAAACAAAGAAGCATAAAAAAATTGAGAAAAATAATAATTAAATTCAAGAATTTGTATTCCACAAACTAAAGGGAATGAATGATAACAGAATAGTATTCCAAATAGTTATTAATATTTTTAATTTATCTACAAAAATTTAAATCTCGAATAAAAGAACAATGTATACATAATAAAATGTGAACCAAATTTAAAAATGAACTTATAATTTGATGAAGAAATACAAAAGTAATACGGATATTTATAGTATATTAGTATATATCTTTGATTCAAGAATTTCTGCATGGGAAATCATCTCGTGCCATTCCAAATACCAAACCAATCATTTAGTTTGGTACAATTCATTTGTTTCGTATTTTCTTCGGTTTAGTATTTTTTGATTCGGTGTTCTCAATTTTTCGAGAATTTTCGTGTTCGGTATTTGCTTACTCTTAATTGTAGTTATATTTAAAATTGTTATCTAGTCTGATCTAATCTAATTGGATCTAATATGGTCTGATTAAATCTGATCTGATTTTAATAATAATAAATAATAATCTGAAAAACAAGTTATACGATACGAAGCTTAATTTGTACTTCAAATTGTACAATACACTCCTTCCATTATACATTTTTCTTTACCTAAAATCAAATATTCTAAATAAAAAATGTACCACAAAAATGGAAATGATGTATAACTTGAAGTACAATTTGTCAAATTTGATATACTCATATACCTCAAGCATTACACATATATGTATGTAATACTCTGTAGTTTTTTTCGGAATTCGCTCAACACTCATCAAACGCACGAAAAAAGTAATTAGTCCTCACATTATTTATATGTAATTTGTAAACTCCAATCTATGAGAAAATGTCATATATCAAAACTATGTGGCAATTTTTAACATAAGGCTTGTGTAAGTTGTGTTATATATGCGGCGTGAGGAGGGGCTTGACCACCCTTACTTACACCCATTTACCATTACAAAGGGGGAGAACTCTATAGATAGAACTACAAAATTATGAAAAGATCAAAATATGAGTCATAAATCATTTAAGTCCAAAACACAAGTTCACACTATCATTGTTATATTGTCGCACTCACCACATAGCACACATATTTTATCACTTCATATCATACTCGTTTACACCCATCAAACTATAGCCCCCATGAGGCCATGATACAAGATCTAAGAATGATATGTATCAAGACTACTACCTCCGTCTATGAGTATTTTTCCAGTTTTAACTTTTTTTTCAGTTAACTGTTTTTAATCTTTATCCTATAATTAAATAAAATATATATTGTAAATAAAATTTTGTAAATATTTGATATAATAAATCTAATAAAACTATTTTTATATCTAATATAGTATCATTTTTAACTTGCATAACATGCCAAAATACTATAGAAACCACATTAAATAGGACTAAAACATAGAGAAAAGTATAAAAATAAGAGTTTCATATTTTCTTTCCCAAAACAAGACTTCACATTGTGGTAATGTGACACTGTACACGTGCACATTACATATTATTTTTGCTAATGTATATGACCATGTTTGGTAATGCAAATACATTTTAAGTTTTATTTCAGAAATAAAAACATAAAAATTCTATTTTAATATATTTTTAATATTTTAGTTTTTTGTCTTTCTCCAATACTACCCACTTTATCAAGTAGTTAAAAAAAAGAAGGCTGCGGGAGTAAAGACAGGCGTGTATGTATATATGGGCTTACAGCTCATCCGGAAACAGATAATCAACAATATCAAAGGTTTCCTTTTCAATTTATCCCCATCTTCACATTCTTCGAATCTGTTCAATCGAAGCCTCTAACCCTAACCCTGTCTCGATTTTGCTGCGTTCAAGATTTTCTGTGCGCCGCAAGCCTCATCGATTGGATTAATTGGTTCAGTCATCGTCCTCCGCGGCAAACTCAGGCTCTGAGGACGCCCGTCTCAAGCAGTGCGTTAGGGTTCGCGCAGAATCGGCCTTCTCCAGGGTACGAATTGTTCGTGAAGATTAAAGTCCATCCCGCAGCCGGAAAAAGGTCGTCACTTCAGCAATCCGGCTGTCGCGACCTTCCTTCTCGAGTCCTTTGATCTGTCTGTTTTTGGAAGATCCCGTGGCTTGGTTTCATTGCTCTGCGGCGTGGAGTTTCAAGGCAATTCTCTGATCGGATCAACCATAGAAATCGGCGACAATTCTTTTGTTGAATATGCTTGAGGAGTCAGAATAGGCTCTGGATGCACTTGTTCCCACACAGGCTGCTCCAGTTTGGTTTGATCGATCATCTTCAGTTATCCAAAGAAAACAGAGAGTAGTTTTTTTCCGGAATTTTTGTTGTACTTGTTATCAATTCTAGGTTGAGTTTGATACCAGGCCTATATTTTTTCTTATTTGAAGGCCTTTTTTGAATTTCTGTTGTTGACTTTCTGTGAGGTGAAAGAGAAAAATTAAGAAAAAGAAATATGGCGGTGTATTTTAAGTTTAAAAGTGCAAAGGATTTTGATTCAGTTCCAATTGATGGACACTTTATTTCTGTTCTGAATTTGAAAGAAAAAATATTCGAATCCAAGCATTTGGGAAGGGGTACAGATTTTGACCTAGTTGTCACCAACGCCCAGACTAATGAAGGTTGGTTAGTTTTCATTGATTACTAAGTACTTCCAATATTCAATCAAGAATTCCTAATTCACAAATTGAAGCTGAATAAAATATTATCTGGCGTGAGTTCTTGTGTACTAAATATTAATAGTATAAATACTTGGTAGTATGCTGCACATGCTAGGGGCAATGATATAGGCATACAGTTGGGGTTGGTTCATTGATGTAGTCTTCTGTGATCTGTGAGATGGATAAACACTTGCTTTCACTTTGATTCGTTCTGTTTGCGATAAATAACCACTTGTTACAGGTGATGAGGGTTCATCATATTTTTGGGGTCCTGCATTTTTTGCATTTAGTGTTTGTTTTTTATGTTTATATTAATACTGGTTCCAAGCATTTTGCTCTTATTATGTTGAGTCAAGAAAGAAGTGAACATGAGGCCAACACTTAGTAGTATGCACATGTTAGGGGCAGTGATATTTTGGGGTTGGTAAATTGATGTAGTCTTCTCTGATTTGTGAGATGGATAAACACTTGCTTTCACTTTGATTCATTATGTGATTTGTGATAAATAACCCGTCATTACAGGCAATAAGGGTTCAAGTCATTTTTTTAGTCTCCTTTATACTTTTGCATTTGGTTTTTGTTTTTGATATATTAATATTGATTTGTGTCTCACACTCTTTTAATGCTAACTTCTCATTTTCCAAGTATTTTGCTCCTATTATGTTGAGTCGAGAAAAAAAGGAACATGAGGTCTACGCTTTTTGCAACTCATTATTTAATTAGGATGTTTTTTTCTTGTTTTCCCATGATTTTTCGAGGGTGTCATTTTTCAACTGGTCTCAGATCCCAACGGAGTTGGGATTATACTGATTGGCCTAGTTCAAGGTTAACATCAACATGGGACTAATTCAGGGCAGCTTTTTCCATCATCAGTGTAGCAAAAATCAAGTTATTGGTTTATGAAGATATTTTCTGCCAGCCATGGCTAATCATTGTCTTTTGCTTTTATAGATGAACATCCCTTAAAGTTCCAAAGTTTTATATATCCTTTCTGTTTTGTGATTACAGAGTATCTTGATGAAGCCGCATTGATTCCAAAAAATACTAGTGTTTTAATACGTCGAGTTCCTGGACAACCTCGCAAGCCCATAGTTACAGCACCGGTTACTGAACTAGAGGAGTATAATCTCAACCCTTTGAACATTGTTTTCTTATCTTAAGTTTAGCAATAAAAATTCATAATCACTTTTAACTTTGTAACAACACGCTTTTTATACTTCCATTCAATATTTAAATAATAAGTTGCTATGTAAACCCTTGAATTGGTGTCTCGGGCACTGCTAGTATTAAAATGCTTAATTACACCCACATTCTGATTTTGGGGTTATCAGAAAATGGATTGTGTGATTAAGGATCAGGGTCCTGGTGATGGCGATGTTCATCTAATGACTTATAAGACCAATTGTGATGTATGTATACCTACACATTGTTCCTAAGGAAAGGGAAGACGGGGAGTGGGAATGATCATGAATGCTTCCTTCTGGCTGTTGGATGAACCTGTGTTGCTTATTTGAGTTTGATCCATTATGGCTCTGTTGCAGGCCCAAGGCTGAGAATATGTATGAGGAGGCTGAACCGGTAAAAAGTGGTCTTGTGGGAGCTGAAACTTGTACAAATAAATATGTAAGTGTATATATGTTTTCTGTATAGCGTGCGTAGTTTTTTCGTATTTGTCCAGTTTAGATGTTAATGAATAACAACACATTTCATCAATGTAGTCTGAAGACTTGGATTGGGATGAGTTTGGCAATGATTTGTATGCAATTCCTGATACCATACCCTTTCAGTCCAACAACCTTGTCCATGAGGCTCCACCTTCTAGTAAAGCTGATGAAGAAAGCAAGATCAAAGCTCTAATTGATACACCTGCTTTAGATTGGCAGCAGTAAGATTTTTACTCTGTATTTTATCATCTTGCACCATTCTGATTATACATTTGGTCTAGTTTTTTTTACAGGGAAATTTCTATCGTGAACTTTTTACGGACTGTTTTAGTTGACTATATATCCATTTTCTTCACAGGCAACCTGCTGATGGCTTCGGTGCTGGTAGAGGTTATGGGCGTGGTCCAGGTGGGAGAATGATGGGTGGGCGTGGCTTTGGTGATTCTCTTCGCCTCTTGTTTCAAAATATACTACATAGTTGTGTCATTCTTTTGACTCACAAACTCTTCTTTGTTCTATTATTTTTCAATCAAGTTGTTCCTTTACTTTCAGGAATATTGTTGTCTTCACAAGGTTAATGTTATCTTTGCTAATCACTATGGTTTTCGCCCAAGTGTTAAATGCATGTTTTGAGTGACATTGTATAGATAATGGACTATTATCAAAATGGCTAATTAAACCTCCATTGTTTCCTATTTTATACTCCATTTGTCCCAAAATGTTTGCCACATTTCTTTTTTCAACAATCACGGGAACTTTTGTTTATTTGTACGTTTTCATTGATTATTTGATCAAATAAAATATTCTTGATATCTCTTATTTCGAAGAATTTTTCATGTAGTTTTTAACTATGTAAATTTTATTTTTTTATTTCTATACCATTATTTAAATAAAATGAATTGAAAAAACTTGATATTTTGCTTCGTTTTTCAAATCAAATAAAATATTTTTGATATCTCTTATTTCGAAGAATTTTTCATGTAGTTTTTAACTATGTAAATTTTATTTTTTATTTGTATACCATTATTTAAATAAAATGAATTGAAAAAACTTGATACTTTGCTTTGCTTTTAGAAATGTGCTAAACATTTAGGGACGGAGGGAGTATAATTTTTTGGGAAGTAAATACATCAATGCCATCAAGGATCTAACATAAATAGCCTCTGTGTTATACGGAGTACGTGGGTAAGGTTGTGCACATCTTGACCCACTCAGAGCAGAACACAGTTGGGATTATACTTGATTGTTGTTGCTGTTGTTCTTTCTAATTTTTCTTGTGGTTGAAATTGGTAGTCATGCACTCAATGTTTCTTCTTTTAATCTTGGCAACTAAGTATTAATTTTGGTTTTATGATGTCTCTAAGGCCGGGGAGGATTTGAGCGAAAAACACCGCCACCAGGCTATGTATGTCACAGGTGCAAACTTCCTGGTATGCTCATCTCCTGTTAATATATATAAATGGTTAGCGAATTATTCTGTTTGCGTTAGGCGTCATTAAATTCCTATTTTGCAGGACATTTTATTCAACATTGTCCTACAAATGGTGACCCCAACTATGATGTCAGGAGGGTGAAGCCTCCAACTGGTATTCCCAAGTCTATGCTAGTGACTACCCCAGATGGTTCATATGCTTTACCAAGTGGGGCTAGTGCTGTTATGAAGCCTAATGAGTAAGTTGGGTAAGGTTGGTGGATGTTTTCTGGGCAAAGAACCAATGATCTAATAAGTTTGAAATAACTGTAGGGCTGCCTTTGATAAAGAAGTTGAATGCATGCCTTCTACACGTTCTGTAGGCGAGCTTCCACCTGAACTCCATTGTTCTTTGTGTAAAGAAGTCATGAAAGACGCTGTCCTTACTAGCAAGTGTTGCTTCAAGAGTTTCTGTGACAAATGTGAGATTCCGATTGATTTATCCTTAATTGTCTTCTGTTTTAGCATTTGATGCTTCTTAACTATTAGCTCCTGTGCACAGGTATAAGAGATTACATCATATCTAAGTTGATGTGTGTGTGTGGAGCCACAAATGTGCTTGCAGATGATCTCTTGCCCAACAAGACTCTAAGAGACACCATCAATCGTATCCTCGAGTCCAATAACAGCAGTGAACATGGGGGCAGTACCCTTCAAGTTCAAGGTTCATTTTTAAGTGTTGAGATTGTTTTTGGTTCTTTGCGGGTAACAGTTGTTTCATAAAAACCATTAATTAAATGTTTTACTTATTCAGATATGGAGTCTGCCCGGACTCCGCATCCCAGGATTCCATCCCCTTCACAATCTGCTGCTTCCAGAGGAGAGAAACTGCCCCCACCATCTCTTCAGAAAGAAGAGAGTTCGAGGGCGCAAGAGGGAATGCAAGAGGTAAAGGTGGATGCTGCTCTACAACAGGTGTTGGAGAAAGAGAAGACATCAAAAGTGGCTGATGTTTCAGAAGCCACACATGAGTCAATTAGTGCGAGGGAACAGACTTCTCAGGGAAGTGCTCCACTGGTTGATGAAGAAGTCCAGCAGAAGCAAGCTGCTTCTGATGCTGGTAAGTTATTCAGTTGGTCCACGCTTTTATGTATCACAGCCAGTTAGGAATTGTTTATTGCTTCTGTAATTTGCCAGTAGTGCCAAAACATCTAATTGTGGCCTGTGTCATATATTATGGATTCCTTTTTTAATAGAAAAAAGTTGACTTTTGAAGTGTGAGTACTTGTCAAATTTGTTGTGCCTCATTCATTTCTTCCATGTTTTGTTTTGATCCATTTCCAGGGAAGAAGAAGAAAAAGAAGAAAACTCGCATTCCCTTAACTAGTATGTCGAGGAATTATTATTCCAATTCTTGAACTTGATAGCTTTCTTTTTTTACTCTTGAGGCTAATGTCTTTTTGGCTTCCCTGGATGCATTTGCAGCTGCAGACATGCAGTGGAGAGCATCTCATGACATGGCAGCTGATAATTATATGATGCCTATGGGCCCTACGTATAATCCATATTGGACAGGAATGCAACCTGGAATGGAAGGGTTTGGAGGCCCATTTCCCGCTCCAATGCCATATATGAATCATGGTTTTGGTCCATTCGATGCCCAGTTTGGTCCAATGATTCCACCACCGAATCCATTTGGAGCACAAAGTTGCATGTTACCTCCTTTTTGCCCTCCTCAAAGGTAAAATGGTTTATCTTCTTTTGTAGCATGATTTCTCCTCGGTTAGTGTTCCGTGGTGGAATAACTGAACAAGCCTCCTTTGGGTTCTCCCTCTTTCATCACCATCTTCATCATTATTTGACTAAGCTTCACTTCTAAGTCAAGAAGTATTTGTCTAATTGCTTCACAAAATGTCCAACTACAGAGATCTTGCTGATTTTGCAATGGGATTTAACAACGGCCCTCTAGGAGGATTTAACAATGGCCCTCCAATTATGAGCCGAGAAGAATTTGAGGCTAGAAAAGCAGATTTGAAGAGGAAGCGTGAGCTTGAGATGCGTAGGGACAGGTACCAACTACCATCTTGGTCTCTCAGTTGTTTTTTATCCACCAGAATAACTTTTACATGAACCATTGATTCTGAATATTAATTTTATTTTTCATGTCCTACAGGGTATCAAAAGATCCAGAGTTCACTAGGGAAGTTAGCAGCAGTGGGGATATTTCTTCGTTAAAATCAAAATCTGTATGCACACTTGTTTTTTTTCCAGGATTTTTAGACAGGGTTTATGATCACAGTAGTAATGAAGTAGCTAAATGAAAAATGAAATCTTCCTGTTTTGTCTTGTATATTATCAACATATGGGCAAACTGTTTACCCTCAACATTTTTTATATATAGTAAAAGCTGGTTCTTTTCATGTCAGGAAGTAGCCATTCCCTCATCATCTTTTGACTATTATTATTATTGTTATTAATATTTTTATTGTTGTAATAATAATAATAATCATACTAATGATAATAATACTTACTACTTTTATCATCATTAATTTATTATTCTAATTGTTGTAGGATTGAGCTGAAATTCTGGTGTTTATTATTACTAATGCTGTCACCTTGTGTTGTGAACAGAGGCCGCCACCTCCCCCACCATCATCAAGTTCAGACCACCACCACCACCACCACAGCCGGTCAGAGAGGCCCTCTCCAGAAGAGCGACGCTCTTGTGACCCTGAACTACCACCACGCCCTTCATCCTCCAAGAGAAAGTCTGACGATCACCGCTCTGATCATCCCCACCACTACCATCACCGTGAGAAAGCCCATCACCATCACGGGGACCGCGACCGCGAATCCCGTGGCCGTGACCATGAATCCCGCGGTCGTGACCATGAATCCCGCAGTCGTGCCCGTGAGTCCCATCACCGTTCCACGAAGTTACCGGATGGATCTTCCAGGCCACCATCCTCCACCTGCTCAGAACCACCACCTCCGACAACAACAACACCACCGCCACCATCCAAATCTTCTTCTGCAGAAGATGATAAAAAGGCAAAAAAGAGCGTGTTTTCCCGCATCTGCTTCCCTGAGGAAGAAGAAGCCGAAGCAGCAGCAGCAGCTTCTTCCAAGAAGCGAAAATCTCTGTCCTCCCATGAACCACCACTCGCCGCCAGTGCTCCCACCACGAGTCACACCAGCAAATCCAACGGGCATCTCGAAGACCCAAAAACTCTGGGGTCCTCGTCAAGGCCAAGGAAGACCACCGCCAGCGTTGCTACTGACTATGAGAGCAGTGACGATGAACGCCATTTCAAGAGGCGGCCATCTTCTAGATATGAGTCATCACCTCCTCCACCACCGCATGGTGGCAGCAGTTTTCGCAGCAAGCATAGATGAGATAGTTTGCCAGCCAGGAGGGATAAATAGAGAGAGGGAGAGAGAAGAAGAAAAGATGAGTCTTTGAGTCTTGTAATGTAGTTTGGAGCTTTTTTTGCCTTAAAAGCTCCTACCCCATTATTTGTCTTTTTTCCCCATGTAATAAAATGTAGATGTTTTTTTTTCTTCTTTTCAATGAATTTTTCTTGTTTCTTTGTAATTTTCGGATCGGTTTTTAATTTCTGTTTTTCTTCCGGTTTGGTCCGGTGCTCCTTTGCCCTTTTTTTCCCTTTCACCACCAAACAAAGATGTAGATGAAAATCTTTCTTTCCAATGAAAATTGCTGTTTTCTTGAATGCCAATTTGGTAATAATTCAGAACTGCCTCACTATATTCATTTTTCGTTCATTCTTGTTTATTTGCATGTCTATATAACTTATTCTGTCTCAAAATAAAAGATAGAGTTACTTCTATAAGAACAAGTTATACGGGAGTATCTTCTTTCTTTACATATTTTCATGCATCATTTAGTCAAAAATTACAGTCAGCATTAATTCATCTATGTAATTTTTTTTTTCAAAGTCCCCTCCGAATGTAAATATATGTTTTAATTTGATCTCGTTTTAATTTGGTCCGGTTTATATATTTTTATTTTTAAATTATTAAATACTATGTACAAGATTAATTTATTCTATTCAATCAAAATATACTAATTCTTCTGTCCCAAATTAATTTGTCGGTTTGTTATTTATAACATCAAATTTCATTCACTTTCTTTCTCTTTTTTTGCTAGTCATTTGATATAATAAAATAATAATTTTGTAGATCTTTTGATATAATATTTTAGTACCCTATGTAATTTTTATTTTTTAAATTTACATCATTTTCATATAAAATGATTTAAAAATAATCTCAGTAAACTGAAACAAGCAATATATATTTAGACGAAGGGAGTAAATTACAAGTTCAAAGTCATTGAAATATTTTTAGAAGCTTAATTGAATACTATATTTAGGTAAAAAAATTGTTACACTAATGCTTTTTTAATAAATATATTTAGGTTAATTAATACACTTTTTAGTAAAACTTTTTACTATGTATCCATTGTTTTTAAAACAAAAATCTAAGACTCACTTTGATGAGAAATTTTGGGTTTTAAATATTGCTACTCATTTAAGAGGAAGGTATCAATACAAAGCTCCTTAGCTTACAATTTTTATTCGGTTAACCAATCTCTATTAATTTAGAAATTTTTTAAATAAATTTGCAATAATATAATTATTTGAGTAGTCTTTTAAAAATATTTCATGAACTTTGACATTGTAATTTATTATATTTACTAAATTCTGAAAAAAATTAATTAATCGTGTACCAAGTATTACTAATTTAAAAAGAAGGGTGAATAAACCAATTCTTTTAGAAGGGCTAAAAACAAAATTATTCAAAATATATATTTAAATTGGAGGAAGACTACTTACAAAATAATATGGAGTAATTTATTATTTTAATTAATTTTTTTGTAGAGAAAAAAACTCAATAATTTTGTAGTGACAATAAAAATATTTAATTTTATTATTTTACGATTAATTAATTGATAAAATTTTAATTGGGAAATAAAAAACTTATGGTTTTATTTGAAAAAAAATCAAGTACAATTTCCAAACAATATAGGTAATTAATTTTTTTAAGGGATCATTTTACCCTAAAAAAAGAGTAAAGAGTTAAGTGATCTTTTTTTTCATACCATCTTCCCCAGTTCTTCGTCCCCGTCCTTCTTCGTCTTCTTCATCTTAACAACGGCAATCTCCGGTGATGATTAGGTTGGCGGCGGCCGCCACTTCCGCCATCAAGCCGCCGAATCCCCATTCGTTCCTCTCAGGTCAGCCATGTTTACCTTCGGTTTGCATCAAACCTTTGTCGTTTTCGATCGCTTCCTCGCCTCTCTCAATCCCAGAGGAATCTGCTACGCATACGGAGATCTCTTCTCAACTCTTCTCGCTATTGTCCTTCCCAAATTGGCAGAAGAACGCTTCTCTCAGGAGGCTGTTACCTTCCCTGTCCCCTTCTCATGTCTCCTCTCTGTTCTCCCGAAACCCGTCTCTCGATCCCCACACTGCCATCTCCTTCTTCGATTATCTCTCCAGTGTTCCCTCATTCAAGCTCGATACACAGTGCTATTTGTCGCTCTTGCACATTCTGATTCCCCGTAGGATGTTCCAGGCAGCGGATAGAATACGCGTTTTGATGGTTAAATCATGTGAAAGCGCCGATGAAACGAAAAATGTGGTTAGTTTGTTTCTAGGAATGCATAATACTGATGATCATGGTGGTGGGAGTGGTTTAAGATTTGAATTTAAGCTCAATGTTAGGTCTTGTAACACGATGCTAATGTCTTTGTCGAGGTTTATGTTGATTGAGGACATGAAATGCTTGTATCTTGAGATGATAAGGCGTAAGATTTCACCTAATGTTTACACATTCAATACTATTATACACGCTTGCTGTAAACTGGGCAATGTAACTGAAGCTGAGATGTATTTGAGCAAGATCTGTCAAACTGGGTTGAGTCCTGACGCTCATACGTACACCTCATTCATCCTTGGTCATTGCAGGAAAATGGATATAACTAGTGCACGTAAGGTGTTCGATGAAATGCCTAAAAGGCAGTGTCAGAGGAGTCACGTCTCCTATAATGTTCTGATGCATGGGTTGTGTGAAGCAGGGAAGGTTGATGAGGCAGTGGAGTTATTTTCCCAAATGGGGAGTGATCATTGTGGTCCAAATGTACATAGCTATACGATTTTAATCGATGCATTATGCGATTTGAATAGGGAAATGGAGGCATTGAATCTGTTTGATAAAATGGTGGAGAAAGGTTGCCACCCGAATGTGCACACTTACACGGTTCTCATTAACGGGATGTGTAAAGACAAGAAGCTTGCTGAAGCAAGAAGGTTATTAGATGCGATGAGGGAAAGAGGTCAGGCTCCAAATGTTGTAACGTACAATGCTATGATTGATGGGTACTGTAAAGTGCAAAACATGAATTCTGCAATGGAGATATTCAACTTGATGGAGTTAAATAAATGTAAGCCAAATGTACGCACATATAATGAGTTGATTTCTGGATTTTGTGGTGTGAGAATGGTTCACAAAGCAATGGGAGTACTTGATAAAATGCTTGAACAGAATCTATCTCCATCTGTTGTCACGTTCAATTTGTTGGTCCGTGGACAGTGTGGTGAGGGTCATATAAACAGTGCTCTCAGACTGCTTACGTTGATGGGTGAGAGTGGTGTGGCTCCTGATGAGTGGACCTATGGTTCTGTCATCGATGCATTATGTGAAAAAGGCTGCCTTGAACATGCTCATTCTATATTTGACTCTTTGAAGGAGAAGGGCATAAAGGCAAATGAAGTCATATACACCACTTTGATAGATGGTTATTGCAAAATAGAAAATCCTGATGCTGCGGTAACATTGTTCAAAAGGATGCTTGATGAACAGTTATTTCCAAATTCATGCACCTATAATGTAATACTTGCCGGTTTATGCCAAAGCAATAAGCTCAAGGAAGCCACTCATTTATTGGAAAGAATGGAAGAAAGAGGGGTCAAACCCACAGTAGTTACTTACAGTATTCTGATAGAGAAGTTGCTAAAAAGTAATGATTATGGCCGTGCTTCTGAGGTACTTAGTTTAATGGTGTCCTCAGGGACTAAACCCGATGTTTGCACTTACACTTCATTTCTTGTGGCTTACTGCAACCAAGGGAAGTTGGAAGAAGCTGAAAAATTGATGGCAAAAATGATAAAGGATGGGATTAAGCCAGATTTGATGACCTATACAGCATTGATGGATGGGTATGGACGTTTGAGATTACTAGATCGCTCCTTTTGTACTTTTAAATCTATGGTTCGGGCTGGATACAAGCCTTCTCTGTATACCTACTCCATTTTAATCAAGCATTTGTTACTTGAAAACCAGATTGAAAAATGTGTCAATAGGATTGAAGTTTGTTCCATTAATGTTGTGGATGTGTGGAAAATGATGGAGTTCCAAACTGTCATAGTATTGTTTGGGAAAATGGTGGAACATGGTTGCTATCCAGACACTCATACGTATAGTCTACTAATTTATGGACTTTGCAGAGAAGGGCGCCTTGAAGAAGCTTGGATGCTTGTCGATCATATGAAAAACTGTGGAATGTCTCCTGGTGAAGATATCTATAACACACTGATAAAATGTTGCTGCAAGTCAAAAAGGCATGATGCTGCAGCAAAGTTGGTTGATACAATGACTAGTCATGGGTTTTTACCCCATTTGGAAGCTTACAATTTCCTTATTTGTGGGCTTTATGGAGAAGGAAGTAATGAGAAGGCTAAGGAAGCCTTCTTGAAGCTTCTTAGCTGTGGTTATAATAATGATGAAGTTGCATGGAAACTGTTAATTGATGGCTTACTTAAGAGGGGGCTCTCTGATGAGTGCTCTGAGCTTTTAGGTGTCATGGAAAAAAATGGTAACCAGATTCATCCTCAAACACATACGATGCTGATGGAGGGACTTCTCCAAACAAAGGGGCTTGCAAAAGAATAGACAAATTGCTCAATTAAGGAGCTGTGGACCACCTTCAGTCCTAGCACATTCATTCCCAGTTTTGCAATGATTCATATGCAATCCTGAAAGTCTGAAACCATGCCATTTCAGTCAAGAAATCTTGTCCAAGTGGCTCTACCTTTTGGTAAAAGAAAATACAATTACAGGCTTACAGCTTTCATTGACACAGCTGCCTTATCTCGGAAGCAGTAAGTTTTTTATTTTAGTTATTAACTTGTGCAATTCTGATTATTTTGCTAGTTCCAAATTTCACAGGAAAATTCCCTCTATTAACATTTTAGGTCTAATTTAGTTCACACACACACACACACAACCTAACCAAACAAACCACAATATCCCACTAAGTAGGCGCTGTGGTGCAAAATGTGCGCAGACCTCACCTCTACCCTAAGGTGAGATCTAAGCAGTAAGCAGACCTTATCTCTTCCCCATGGAGTTGAGAAGTTGTTTCCGTGAAAAAGAGAGGGACTCACAAGTCACAACCATTCCCCAAAAGCAGTCTCTTCCAAAACAGAAACCAGCAAGGACTCCCATTCATTTCTCAGTAACAGATGATCTGATCTAGCATTTTTATGCATTTCCTTTGCTATTTAATCAATTCAAATAAAATTCATACGTCATGTATCTAATTCGTCTTTGCTGTAAAGAAATCTTCTTAAATGATTGTTATTGCAGTCAAAGTGCAGAACTGATGAGGCATGCATGGTTAATCTTTAGATGTTCGTGGTTGTTTTACTCTTTTGCGTATTGCAAACCCCGGTCTATGTGATTAACCCGCATTATGTCAATTCAATAATTAACGAATAATTTGCTACGCAAGCCCTTGAATTGGTGTTTTGGGCACTACTAGTATTAAAATGCTCAAATACCTCCACATTCTGATTTCCGCTTGCCAGAATATGGGATCTGTGATTTAAGGATCAGGGTCCTGCTGATGGCGATGTTCATCTAATGATTTCTAAGACCCGGTTTTATGTATGTTTAGTTATACATTGTTCCTGAGGAAAGAGAGGGCGGGGAGTGGGAAGGATCATGAATGTTTTTTCCTTATGGCTGTTGGATGAATCTTTATTGCTTAATTGAGTTTGATTCAATCATCTCCGATGGAGCCAAAATTTCACCATTTTTTGGCTTTGGGGTGTGATGGAATAAATCAAAATGGATCTCTAAACTGTCTGCGCTTCTTTAATTATTGAAGTAGCAGTTAGTCAAGCAATGCAACTTTCGACGTTGAGCCGGGGGTCTCTTTGGAAACAGCCTCTCTACTTTCGAGTAGGAGTAAGGTCTGCGTACACACACCCTCCCAGACCCTACTCTTGTGGGATTTAACTGGGTGATTGTTGTTGTTGAGTTTGATTCATTATGGCTCTGCTGCAGGCCCAAGGCTGAAAGCATGTCTGAGGAGGCTGAACCGGTAAAAAGTGGTTCAGTGGGAGCTGAACATGTACAAACAAATATGTAAGTACTCCGTATATATCTGTATAGTGTGCATACTGTTTCCAGATTTGTTCAGTTAAGTAAAAACATAACACATTTCATCAATGTAGTCTGAAGACTTTGATTGGTATGAGTTTGGCAATGATTTATATGCAATTCCCAATACCATGCCATTTCATTCCAGCACTCCTGTCCACGAGGCCCCATCTTCTAGTAAAGCTGATGAAGAAAGCAAGATTAAAGATCTAATTGAAATATCTGCTTTAGATTGGCAGCAGTAAGATTTTTACGCTCTATTTCATAATCTTGCGCCGTTGTGATCAAATATTTGTTCTAGTTTTACAGGGAAATTTCTATCATACACTTTTTACGCACTGCTTTAGTTGACTATACATACATTTTCTTCACAGAACCTGCTGACAGCTTCGGTGCTGGAAGAGGTTATGTGCGTTGTCCAGGTGGGAAAATGGTGGGCGGGCGTGGCTTCGGTGATTCTCTTTACCTCTTGTTTCAAAATATGGCATATAGTTGTGTCATTCTTTCGAGTCACATACTCTTGTTTGTTCTACTCCCTCCGTTCCAATTTAAATCATCTGTGTCGGTTTACGATGTTGATTGAAGCTATTTTCAATACAATTCATTTAAGAATTGGGGCGGAATTAAAAAAATAAAATTTACATATTAAAAAACTACTTCAAAAGCTATGAGAAAGAAGAAGTGAAATGACTATATTATTTTATCAAATGAGTAAAAAAAATTGGAGAAAAATTGGGAAAGAAAATGAATAAAATTCAATCCTGTAAATAGTACGGAGTAGTAAACAAACAACTTAATTATTGACGGAGGGAGTATTATTTTTCAATCAAGTTGCACCTTTGCTTTGGAGAGTATTGTCTTCACAAAGACAATGTAATCTTGGCTAAACAATCATCCATGGTTTTCACCCAAGTGTTAAATGCATGTTTTGAGTGACAATTGTATGGATAACTTAGATTTGTAGTTTATAATGGTTTTGTTGTTGCTGCCACTGTTTATAATTTTTCTTGTGGTTGAATTTGGTAGTTATTCACTCAACATTTCTTCTTTTAATTATGGCAACTAATAATAATAATAATTATATTTTCTTTGGTTTAATAATGTCTCTAAGGCGGAGGAGGATTTGAGCGGAAAACACCGCGCCACCAGGCAATGTATGTCACAGCCCACAGGTGAGGATTAGCAAACGGATCAGGCATGACTGAGTGAGTTAGGGCAATAGTTTTTTTTATTGCCATTTATTTTTAGTTTTTAAATTTGTTAACAAATGTAATTCTCTTAAAATAGTGAATGAAGGGCATAGCAGTTTTGGTTATAAATTTTAAGTCATAATTTGGCATAAAAACTTTCAAGGTCAGATTTTGGTATATGGCGTAAGAATCGTAGTTGCACTTATAGACTTGACTGCAATTATTTTTAATTAATTATTTGAGAATTGATGTAGGATTAAAAAATAATTTTTTCAAAAATTCCACAAACAAGATGTGATTTGGGTCTTTTGTTTTATCAAATCATTGATGAAAATATGTAAAGGGAGAAGATATGTTTTACTCCGTAATTAGGTTAATAGTAAAGTAAAACTTTTATTTAAGGATATGTAGGCTCTGTTGAGTTGGAATTTCATATTTGGATGTTAGAAGAAACTGGAAGGAGTTAGAAGAAAAATTAAAGGAAATTGAGAAAACTAGGAGTTGGAAAACGTTGGAAGAATTAAAGTGTTAAAAAGTCATTAAATTAAATAATCAGCTAAATAAATATGTAAGAAAACTCTAATTTTAGATATAAAAAAATCATCATTATCCGTGTTTGAAATGGTATATTATAAATTTGGACATATAATAGTATTGTATGTTCATCCTATATAAATATCTTTTTAAATCGTTGTTAGAAAAACTAGAAAAAATTGGAAAGAAATTGGAAAAAATTGAAAGAAACTGGAAGGAGTTAAAAAAGTTGAAGATCAATTTTTCCAATCTAAAATAACAGAGCGGTAGACTGATAGTTCAATTTCTAGTGTTAAAAATTAAAAGTATGTGTGGAAATGGAAATGGTATATTGTGTTACTAGTTACTTCTCTCATCTCAAATTATAGTGTTGGTTCACTATTTAAGTTTTAAACTCTATTTACTTTTGGTTTATCTATTTTCATTACTCATTTGATCAAATAATATAGACTATATTGATATCACTTCTTGGTTTGTAAAATTTTTGATATACTTTTTAATAGCTATTTTTTATTTCTTACAAAATTATAAAAATGAAAAAAAACTAAAAACAATCTCAATCAAACATCATAAATCAAAACAGACACTACAGAATGGGACAAACGGAGTAGTTGTTAGCATGAGAGTGAATGATTAAAGTTTTGACTTTTTATTGTTGGCAAATTGAACATTTCAAAAGACTAATAAATTACTCTCAACCCCTATTTAAATTACTCGTTTATTATTCATATGGTTAAACGTTAACCATATTCTTTACTTATTTTCGCTACTTATTTGATCAAGCAATAGTCTTGTCACCTCTTGTTTTGTACGAAGTAGAATCTTGACCTAATTTTTAAATATATGATTTTTATTTTTTTAAAATTTCATACCAATTTTTAAATAAATAATTTCAATCAAACTTCATTAATAATAATAAACCATTTAAATTAGAACAAAGGGAGTACAAATTATTAAACATCCAATTTGACTCGTGCAAACTTCGCAATACTAGATGACAAATTCTATGGTGGATCTAAGGTTCACCATAGAACTACATATAAACAAAATAAACATTTTTTACTATTTGAATATGCATTTGTTTTTTAAATAAAAAAAGATTTTTTTATGTGAGAAAGTCCTGATATGCATTCTTTTTACTATTAAAAAGATTTTTAATAAAAGATTTTTTTTATTAAACATCATATTAAGTTCGTAAACTTCAAATTTCAATCACAATATCTAAATAAAAAAAATCCTAACATAGGGAACATTAGATATTTTCAAATGAATGAATGCATGAAAGCATGAAAACATTTTCTCTTTCCCTTTTCAAAAGAAGAATATATTGTCCATAATATTTCTCTTTTTAAAACAAATTCCGACCACTCGTTTTACTATTCAACATCTCTTCAACACTTTCTTTAATTTTCATGAAGTCAAAGTAAGCAAATCCATTAATTTGGAACGAAGAGAGAGCAATTCTTTAAGTAATACTGTACCACATTAGGTCAAGCAACCAAATATTTCTTGTTGTTCAATAGAATTTTGGAGAGATTTTACAATTTACATCTTGTATGAACACTGTTTGGAAAAAGAACGAAAGTTACAAAACATATGCTAAATTGCTAAGCTCTTAGTCAACACAGTTGGGTTGAGAGCTAAGTAATTACAGTTTGATGATGCACAAGTATAACAAACAATTCACAGACAATAGGAATGGGACCAGATCTTTTTAATGGAGTGGAAGAAAATGAAAGAGGGGTCAAAAGTGGGAGAGTATCAAAGAAGATCCTTTGCTAGTCTTACCGGCATTTCATTCAAAAACACCACATCGCTATTCCGGGCAGTCAACAACTGTTGACTAATGTCGTCGTCATCACTGTCCTCTGTCAAACATGATGCACCAGAATCTGAACCATCTTCTGCAATTACAACACATTTCTGTAAGGAGAAAACCAGCCATTGCCAGTGGAGCTAAAAGAGTGACTATTGAAATGTTTTAGCTTCGGGTACATAATGGACAAAATCAAAATGACACATTAAAGTTTCCCGACTTCTTCCTTTCTGTGAAGTTTTGAGCAGTAAATGCAGCAATGCATTTAGGGTCTAACAGAACAATGGCAAGATTGCATACATCTTGACCCCAACAAAGTTGACATTATATTGGGTTGTTGTTCTGTAAGGAAAATATCTTGCATGGAGTCTGGATTTTCTAACACGTTACACGTACCAGATTAGCGCACATTAGCACCAAATCAGTGTGGCGCTTAGCGGTACATAGCACAAGATTAGCGCACATTAGCACAATAGCACCTAATGGAAAACAATTTCGGGCTAGCTTGGAAGCTAACTTCCTTTGCTTCTTATTTTCTACGAAATTTTGAGCAACAAATGCAAACAATGGTCTAATGGAAACAACCTCTGTGTTTTTTTTAGCCCACCCACCCCTACGAAATTGGAATGAACTGGGCTTTTTGTTGTTGTTCTTGTTGTTGGAGGCTACTCAAAGTGTTTCATATTTGTTTTCCAACACTTAGGATTACTTTCATAGTAAGTTATTCCATTAGGAAGTTGTGTAGGGGCGCTACTATTCTTGGACTCCTACTAAGATGGGGACAGCCGGTTTTGTACTCTTACTAGGATTATGACTAGCTTATATTATTTCAATAAATACTCCTAGGGGTCCCATTGGGGAGTTTCACCTCTTATCATTCTATCTGTTTTGCCAATTTAACTGGGAAAGTGGGAAAAACAAAAAGATACAATCTTTATCATTTACACTTCCACGTTGGGATCAACTTTGGGAAGTTGAAAAGAAAGTTTGAAATTTAAACGATGCACTCCAAAAGCAGAGGTGAATAAAAATCAAAACTAACCCGAAGACGTTTGATGATCAGGGACATGCTTGACTGTCGCAGCCTGAATATTTTCCGGTAACAGACAATTGCAGAACGATCCTGAAACATCAATCATATTTGTGTAAGACAAAGTGACAAAGCTAATAGAACAACAACAAAGCGGTATCCCACTAGGTGGGGTTGGCAAAGTGACAAAGGCACAAAGCTAATACCGGTGTTAATTAAATTATAAGAATGCAGAAGATGATGCAGATGGACTTCATTCTCACCTACACGAGCCAGACGGTTAACCCATCCAGGAATCGGCTTGCCAGTGAGATGCAGACAGACTTCATTTGAAAAATGATTGCAATTTTTTACAATTAAATTATAAGAGTCCCCGCGGTACTTATTAGATAGGCGTTCCATAAAAGATCGGACTTGTGAGCGAGACATGTCTGTACTGCCAAGCAGTACAGACCGCCTGAAACAAAACCTGAGCAGCTTCGTGGCTCCACCTCGAATACCCCACTGGTCGGGAATTCATGAGCTCCGAATCCATACTCTAGACCATGTACTATACAACGGGAAGTGAAACGTATGAGAAAATCACCCAAACTTTTTCAAATTTGAAAGTAGTGCATAATTGCCAATTGTCAACATTGTTTCAAAAGAACTCAAGAGTCCAGACGCTTTGCATGACATGAACTTCGCACTTACAATAAGGCATGTATAAATTCTAGTGCCAAGTAATTGTATTAAGATAGTTTTCACTAGAAAATTGCACACACAAAAACAGTGGCAAAAAAAGGTCATCCTTGTTGGCTTGTTGCAGCCTCTCAAAATTTCTAAATTATCATAATCATGCTCTCTCATCTGTTGCAAATAGAGCTAATATATGTTAGGATTGCTCACACACTCATTAATCAAGATGAAGAAAATCAAAGAAGAAATATGAGGAATACTCTTCGTTTCAGAGATATCTATTGATGATTTAGAGTACATACAGTTATAAAGAACACATGCTACTCCCTCTGTCTCAATTTAAATCCCCTGTTTCGTTTTAAGATGTTTGACTGAAATTGTTTTGAATACAATTTGTTTGAAAATTGGCATGGATTTAAAAAATAAAAAATTACACATTTAAAAACTACATCAAAATTTCTACGAAACAAGAGGTGACATGACTATATAATTTTATCAAATTAGTAGCGAAAATAGGAAAAAAAAGTGAATAAAGTTTGACTATGTGAATAGTAAAAATGCAACTTAATTTGAGACAGAGGAAGTATTACAATAGGACAAATAGGTACACACAGAATAAAAGGTACAACCTAAAAGGGTCGGGTCTACGCCCGAACTCTTGAATTGTGCGTACAGTATTACCCTATTTGACAATGCACCAAATGTATAATTAAGCTCTACAACCTTACAAAAGAGTCATATTGACAATGTTTTAGTTTTGGGCCTATAATGGATTAAATCAAAATGGAACATTATACTTCTCTAGCTTCTTACTTTCTTTAAAGTTTTAGGCAGCAAATACAGCAATGCATCTAGGGTCTAACTCAAACACTCTTTGTTTTCTCTCTAATTTTAGATGAGTAAGACTACATACATCTTGAGCCCAAACCCCAACAAAGTTGGGATTATACTGGATTGTTGTTTTTATTTTAATCATTAACACACTCCCAATATAGTAAACAGCTAAAATGCTACAATGGGATAAATAAGAAAAACAGGAAAAAAAATGACACGTATGAGGATACCTTCAATACCAGAATGAAACACGCCAATCCCAAACCAATACAAGTAGTTGTTTACAGGTGTGAGATCATAGACATTAAGGTACAAGAGAGTACGGCTTTTCTCTCCATTTTTCTCCTGGTCCTTTGAAAACATGCAGCTTGAAGAAAACATCCGCATTGTATATTTGTATCTAATTAATCACAAGCCAACTTTCACCTCAAATCCCCCCTCCTACTCCTACACAACAAGAGCATTACTGTTATTCCTATAAGGCATATTCTCACTATCCTCCCACTAGGGTCGGCCTCAAAAAATGAAAAAATGAAATTGGCCCGGTCCGAAATTTACATTTTTAGGCTCTATTTTATTATTTTACAATACTTATGCTTCAAAATTAATGAAGAATTTAAATATACGGAGCCTCAAAATTTTAGGGGCCCCGTGGGGTTGGCCACTTTGCACACCCTCCGGGCCATGCCTCCCACCACAGTCAATTAGAACCATCTATGTCTTATCCCAATTATTTTAAAATTTAGGAAACAAAATGCAAAAAAAATGATGATGATATTAATAATAATGATAATAATTTGAAATAAATTAAACAAAGTTTTGCCATTTTGGCAATTTCCCAAGGACACAATCATATTCAATTTTTAAAATTAAAAAATATGGAGTATATAGTGAAATTGCATAGAGGATTAAGCCATGCCAGAAAATGAAAAGATCAGAATCAATTGCCATTCCCGGTGATATATAAATGAACGCACAAATGCAAGCCTGTATATGTAAATATGCAGGAATTTAAACGACATAAAAACTGATAGATTACGGAGATTTGAGATGAGAAATGAGGGGCGACGAGATTGAGATAGCAGGGTGACGTCGCCACCAGATCGCCGCCGCGATTGGGATGGGGCTGACCGGCTGAGGGCGGGAGGAAAATTCAGTCACCTCCCGGAATACATATGTTGTGTATATACACGTAGACGTACACACGCAATATATACGGAGTACAAAATTATAATTCCGGTAATCCGGTCCGGTTCGAATGATGGGAAGAGCACTTTGGTAAAAAATTTGAGGAAAGTATCTTTTCTTAGTTAAACCAAATGAATTCAAAAATTATATTGAATATTTATTGGTAGGTTCATTAGACCCAGAGACAACTATTAATGTAATTAGTCTAATATATTTATTCAAGTTATAAAGTCAACAGTTTAAGTCTAGACCCGAATGCAATCCATTTGTCAATTACCGCCGATCCACATTCACAACAACACCAAACAACCATGACCACAGACACTGCCATCGGCCATCGATCATCCACCACCATAACTCTTAGTTGACTATCCACGTCATCATACCATCAACAAATTCCCAACAATGATGGTGAATCAAACAAAAAAGAGTAAATTCCATAATCGGTTCTTTATAATAGGAGGGTTTTCATATTTAGTCCTTTATTATTAAATATTACCTCCGTAGTCTTTTTTTTTAAGGGTGTCTTTCCACAAATGGTTCTTTTTTTGATCTTCTGTCATGATGGTGTTAATTTAAAGGCTAAAAGTATAATTTGACATCAACATTATGTCTAGTGACGTGTTCTGATATTGGTTAAACGAATAACACAAAAATAATGACTATGATTGTGGGATAGGAATCCGACGAAAGACCACATTTGTAGACTATGGTTGTAGTTGAAAACAACTGTAATTCACAAACGACGCAAACGGAACAACCTTTGGAAATGTGAATGACAAAAAGGATATATTATCATTGTGAAATTACACTTTTAGCCCTTAAATTAACACCAACATGATAGAAGATCAAAAAAAGACTATTTGTGGAAAGGTACTCATAAAAGAAGGACCAGTAGGGTAATATTTGATAATAGAGAACTAAATAAAGAAACCCTCATATTATAAAGGACCACTTATGGAATTTACTCAACAAAAATTACTCAAAATATAAGTAAAACCTAGCTATTATTTTTAAAATAGAATTACATATCTTTATTTTTAAAATAGAAATTTTCACTGTGACAATACAATATCATATATTGACATTCCTTAATGTTTTTTGGTATTTTATGTTAACATTATTAAAGTTATAACATCTTTTTTAAAAATAAAAATATCTTAATATTTTTCTCTAAATTTCACTCATAGTTCAATCTTTTTCTCTTACTCATTCTATGGAGGATGAGAGGATGTAGGGGAGTGAGAGTGAGTGATTCACCCTTGGAATTTATTGTAACTTCTCTTTGATTCAATGGACCTATTTCTTTCACATGAGATGAAAAGCAATATGAATTTGTAGCATGAAAAGAATCTCAAACAATGGTATGAACAAATATTACTGAAAGTTCTTCCATGTAATGATCCCCTATTTTTGCGGGTCTCACGTGTACACGTCACTTCCTTTCATTTTTTTTCAAGTAAGGCAAGTCTTAACTCCAACCCAAAATTGTTCCCAGCACCCCAAAGTATGTCCAAATGTTAACCTCATCGAATATTTATATACTACGGAGTACATAATTAAAAACATATAATGGGAAACACGGTTGCTTTAGGAAGCAACCGTATTTTACGAAGCTCTCTTCGTCATCACCTACATTGCATCGATTTTTGGAAGCACATGTTGCGTTACTTAGAACCATCCGGAAGCACTCGGGTTGTAGATGCTCTGATCATTTGATCTTGAGACAGTTATCACAAGGACTAGAGCCAGATCTGCAAGCACTGCGATCGATTACTTCCCCAAAATGTCCCACCAATGCTTGTCGACGACATTCATTCTGCAATAACGTTAGAACAAACAAACACACGAAGCTTTGTGGATTTGATAGTCTGTCGAAATAAAGAGACTCAAGTGAAAAACTTGAGTCGATGGATTGGCAACAAAAAAAAGAGTCGTTAAAACCACGATCCTTAACAAGGAGTAGAGAAGGGCATAGTTGATAAAGCTGATAAACGAAAATGGAGAATGCACCTTTAGTTCACAGTAGTTCTGCATTTTCCGAGCTTGATCCATGGCCAGCTTCAAGCTTTCCTTTTTGTATCCTTGACCACTTCTTAACATGCATACCAAGCGGCTGAAATCCTTCTTCTGATACAAAACAACACATGTTGCAGGGAGGTTGTCCCTCCCTGCCCTACCCGCTTCCTGATAATAACTTTCTATTGATTTGGACATTGTATTGTGAACAACGAACCGCTGTTAAGTGCAAGCACAAAAAACTATTATTCTGGCATGTTTTCTCAAATTCTACAAAGGTGTGATGAATGGTTATGCACATATGAAATTAATATGTTACTATACCATCAGAAAAAATTGGAATGTATCCTCTTGATGATGTGGAAATAATGTGAACAAAATACAACTTTGGAGGGGTTTTTTATATGAACTTTGGATTTTACAAAGATTGAAAGAGTAACATAATAGGCAATCATAAAACATTTCAATCAAATTTCATTCATTTTTTGAAACAGCAGTCATAAAGATATAGACTACACCTGTCATCCCCTCCAAAATCTTCCATCCAAATGGACCCTTGGGAAATTTAAAAACAAAATCAGAATGGAGGGACTCACAACATCGGGTTTATCGATTCCCATCCCAAAAGCGATAGTAGCACAGACAACATCAATTTCTCCAGCATGCCAATTCCTTTGAGCCGTAGCCCTCTGCCGTGGTGACAACCCGGCATGATAATATGCAGATCTAATCTTACATTTTTCATTCAAAAAATTTGAAACCTCCACACACTCGCTTTTGGAAAGGCAGTAAACAATCCCAGAAAGATTCTTGAACCGGTTGACTAGTAGTTCTCCAAGCTGCTTGAGTGGCTCTTTGCTCTTTCCAATCACCTCATATTTTAAGTTTGATCTATCAAAACTTGTTTCAAGTACAAGAGCACGAGGGATGTTTAAGGCCTTCAAAACATCCTGCAGAATGAAGCATAAGTAAAAACTTCAAACAAGTATTAAGTTTATTTCACGGGTGAAAATCATAAAGAATTTGTGTCCTTACTTCACGCACTGGATGGGTTGCTGTAGCGGTTAATGCCATCAGTGGAACACTTGGGAAGTTTCGCTTGAGACAACCTAAGAGTCTATAATCTGGTCTGAAATCGTGTCCCCATTGGCTGAAGAACACATCCAAGAAAATCATTAAAGAAAATCCAAGAGGTTAAAATTATTTCTCTTTTCTTGAATTAGAAAATCAGAAAGAAAACCTTGGATTAAATACAAAACTACTCAAACAATTGCACATGGTTAAAATTATTTGTCTCTTTTCTTGGAATGTTGCACCACGTATATCTCACTTGAACTGTATATGCCACTACAATACTTTCATCGAAAAATGTTGTTATATTTCTGAGTTTTTTACAATACCAAATGCATTCAAATCATTTGCCCCTCACTTTGATCATTCCCCTGAAATTATATAAGCCAGTAAAACATCTGTTACTACAAATTACAATGAGGCATACCTTACACAATGGGCTTCATCAACAACAAACCCAGCTAAGTTTCCCTGCGGTATGTAAAAGAAATGTGAGAAGCATCACCTGAGGTTGGAATAGATTTTACAATATAATCATATTGAAAATGGCTTTCATCAATGCATTTAACATTACCTTTCTGTGGAGAGAATTTAGAACCTCTTGAAAAGGTAGGTTTCCTGCTATCCTCTCAGGAGTTACATACAGGAGCTTACATGAAGGTTTATCTTTCCTAGAAATTAGGTAAAAAATCAGAGTCCATTTAATTCAAACATGAATATGATGTTCAATCAATGCCAAGTTTTGAATGACCTACGCAAAGACACTCTACAAAAAGCACATCAACTACAATATCACACAATGGAGCTGGCATCAAAGATGTATAGAAAGTTGAAAGTGAATTTTACCCATACAAAGCAATGAAAAATAGAAGAGCTCATAATATGGTACTTCACGTCTTTACCAATATAATATTTCTTCCCACAATGGATACACAAAATATGGAGTATATGACAGCCAATTCAAACAAATAATGTGAAAAAAGTGCTCTTTTTGTTTATCCATTCTTCCTTACAAGGAGTTTAAGGAAGATATTTCACAAGTTTCTTGTGTGAGATTCATAAAAAAACATCAGTGTCACTTAACTTCACATAAATTTTAGAACATAATACATTGCTACATTTGAATGTCAAGATACAATCTAGGACTAACATTCTTCTTTTGTCACCCTCACATCCATTTGCCAAAGGAGCTAAAATAGTCATTTGTTGTTGTTTTTGACTCTAACACATTAAACTTCCCTTGCTTGAGTTTCGAGCTTACTATAAACTTTTCGGAAGTAAATGTATCAAATGCCTAACAAAAACAGTCTCTGTATTTTTTACAAGGGTAACACGGTGTACATCTATCTTGACCCTCAAACCCCAATGAAGTTGGAATTATACTGAATTTATTGTTGTTTTTCACTCGAACACTATGGAACTCCAAAGTTTAGTCTTTTCTTTAATATTCATAAAAATATCTTCATTTCAGCATAACAATTTAGGATAACAGTGGGTTTAGGGGGGATAGATGTAACCAGTAAACCTTGCCTTAATTCTTGCAATACAGCAGCTGATTGAGAATAACTCTGCTGAGAATTCAAAAAGGTTGATGGTATTCCAAACTTTAGATTTAAAGTGACTATCTGGTCTTGAATGAGAGATAGTAGAGGTGAAACTACAACAGTAACACCAGGTTGCAGGATTGCAGGAAGCTGCACAGTGGGAAAAAAGGTGTAATACTTTACACATACAAATCTATTTTCCCAGAAAATTGTAACAAGCGCAAGTCCCTGGGGGAAAGCCATGCAAAAAGCTAGTTATTAGGATGGGAAAACCCAAGGCCTTATAAAGCAACTTTCCCAAAGAGTGTCTTTCCAAAGTGGGGCTCATTACAATAACCTTGTAAATTACAAAATGTGACAAGAAAAACCCACCCAACTTGGCATGAAATGATACCTGGTAGCACAGACTTTTTCCGCCTCCGGTTGGCATAAGAATAAAGCAATCACGCTTTTGCAGAATAGCTTGGCAAGCTTTATGTTGCAAAGGCCTGAAACTTCTGTTTCCAAATACTACCACATTAGCCAACTCGATGTCATCCAACTGCTGCAGCTCTTCATAAGTAAGAGTTTTGTCTTCATTAATCGATGTACAAGATGTCAGTTTACTTGATAGAGATGAAACTGACCCTCGAGTCACAGTGCTTTCGCAATCCTTCCAGGACACATGCAAAAGAGCAAGAATACTTCAGCACTTAAAAGATATCTACATATTCATGTCTACCAAAATGTGATAGAGATGAATACAATAACAAAGATATGAACAATTAAGCACAGCGGTAGCATAACGAATAATGCAGGTAATTTTATTCAGAAGATCGAATGAGAGTTACTACAATAAATGAAGGAGGACATCTATGTGAGCTTGAAGTGCTGCATCCATTACTCCTAACATGACCAGATGCAGAGGGGGTGTACAGAGTATTTGTTTTGCTTGGTTTTCCATAATCCACATCTTCACTGTCACTTGAAGAAACCAACACTACTGGATTCATTATCCCTGCACTCTCTGGGGAATCATCTATAGTATATGTTGATACATTTCCATCATTTTCAGCTGCAGTGTCACCTGGAACATCCTTGTGCAAAATATCAGCCAAAGTCCCGCAAACCTCTGATTCAAAGGCTTGCAAGTCATCCCAGACCTCCGTGTCTTCCACCGAATCGGCCAAAGCCGCAAGAAAATCATCTCCGGAGCGTTCAACTGTGATGAAATCCTTCCCATCCTCACCTTCAGGAATAGAAACCTTTGTAAAATTCATATTAAGAAGTACTAGCATTTTATATATGGGTTTTGAATGGTTTTTAAAAATCTACTGAACATATACAATATTCTAGGGTTTACCGTAGAGTTCAATGAATCGATTCAAACACTTTTTGGCTAAGTTTTCGTCGAATCCAAAATCGAGAGCTAAGCTGATCAACCTTGCTTTCTCCAGATCCAAATCCTTGCCCTCTTCCGGTTCGGGTTCCGATCCCGGGTCGACGATTTCGGCTTTCCGGGTCCGCCTCCGTGGAGGGAGACGACGAGCATTTTCCCGCGCTTTCATTTGCCCTCTTTAATCCCCGCCAAAAAACAGTGCAAGCCAAATGTATTTATAGATGAAGAAACACTGGGCACAGACACTGTAGACCTGCAGAGTGTTGATCGGACAAACCCGGACCACCGGACCGGGATAGACCGAATAAATATATTTTTTAAAATTTTTAATTTGATTTTATTTATTTAATTTAAATTATTCAATTAAACAAAAATATTGTAACAATTAATTTTTAATGTGTAACATATACGGAGTATTAAACATTGTTAGAGCAATGAGAATGCTCTTAACCTTGAAGGTGCCATGGGGCGTTTAATGCCTCTTCGGCGTTAAACATCGTCTCATTCGGGCGTCATCCAAGCGTCACTGTCTTGCGTCAAACGTTTAACGCAATTGATCCCCTCCAAAGGCTAATTTAGCCGTACACTCAAAAAAATTCTTTAGTTTATTTTTTTTTATAAATATCAAATTTCAATCCTCAATCTTCTTTACATCTTTCCTTTCTTCAATCTCCAATCATCAATCTTCTTAGACAAGAAGAGAGGGAGAGAAGAAAGCAACATAAGTAAGAGATCGAAGTAATGGAAACCGACATTAATATGTTATCGGGATTCAAACGTATGATTTTTGAGAGAAGACAACAAGAGATCAAGACTAAAAATAATTTACTTTAGTTTTTTATTAATGTATTTTTTTAATTAAATGTTCTTTTTTATTGAATGTAATTTTTGTGAATTATTTTTAATTGTTTAATTTAATGTATTTGAATTTTTTATGCTTTATTCTCGTTTCAATTTAATTAAATAATTAAATTTTATTAATTTAGTTTTAGAATATGTTTGTTTAAAATGTAAAATATAATACTACGTATAAGATAGTGTTTGACAACTAGTTTTTCATTTCAATTTCAAAATTTGAAATCTTGAATTTCAAATGACAAAATGAGGTACATGGATTTCAAATTAAACTTTGTTATGAATGAGACCCAAATTCAAATTTAAATTTTTTAAGTTTCCCAAACATGAAATTTGAACCAAATCCGAATTTGAAATCGAAATTTATGTTCCTAAACACACCATAAAATACCTAAAAAAATAAAACGGAGTAGGTGATTTGACTAAATTAATTTTTTCTTGTATGTGCCAGTTTATTTTTCTCACTATTAATAAATTTTTGAAATCTTACGCCCTTAAAACTCCAATATTATTGTGTATTGGACATGTACATTTTTACTGTTTTTATCAATAAGTAAGTTGTGATATACGATATAGTTTGTTTGTATATTTAACAAAATTTTATAGAATTAGAGGAAAGTAATTCCATTATGTATGAAAATGAAAGAAAAAAATAGATTTGAACACATTATTTGGCATGTTGGATATTTATAACAAAAGTGCCTCTATGGTACACTTTGGGTGTATAACATTTTTCTGTGAATATTCTCACTTAAAAAAATCTTTTCTTAAATTGTTTTTATTAAAAAAGATAGATTCTTATTTATGTAGTAAGAAAATACTTATTTTCGATAATTCAATACATACATATTTTTCCCAAAATAACAATTCAATAGTAATGAAAATGACACAATATTTTTTTTCCAAAACGACACTAATTAATTTTACAACTCACTTCATTTTTTTGTATTGCAATTTTTTTCTCGGGCGATGCTCTAAATTATTTTTTTGATTAATCCAATGTTATAATCTCCCAAAATAGAAAAAAATGTAAATCGTTATATGATAAGAGTGTACTGTTAAATATTTAAAAACATAAATTTTAAATTTTAAATTTAAAAAAGGAAAAAAATTGCCTAAAATTACTCCACCTTTCATTAATTGCAAAAAAAATATGAATTTTTCAAATATTGCGTTAAGTGGTCATTAGTTTTATAACGGCGACCCAAAACTCACACACATGCGGAAATGTGAGATTATTTCCGGTGATTATGAAAAGTATGATTGTTTTTCAAAAAAACGTGAAAAGATGGAATTCTTTAAAAAAAAATTCTAAATCTAATTAGATTAAGTTTAGATATTTGTATGATTTTTACTTCCTTAGTCCCATAAAACCCTTCATGTTTGAAAAAGACACATCTTTAAAATGAGTAATTCTAGTATCATTTTAAATTATGATTCATTTGTCGTACATATCTCATTCTACTTTTTTTATATAAAAATAAGAGCAAAACAAAAAAAAATAAAAATCAATGATTTTAAGGGTGCATGTTTTTTCGAAAAGAAAGGAATTAATGGGATGAAGTAAAAGAAAAAAAAGCTAATGGGCTAAAGATAGGCAAAGCCACAAGCTTGTGAATCCTCACACAACAGATTTCTCCTCCACTAGGGTTTTAGCTATATTTAGACCCCGCCTCCAACGCAATCCCTTCTCCACCGCTTCGGCTAGGGTTTCTACCGCTCGTCTCCCTGCAATTCTCGCTTCGATGCTCTCTTCTCCTCTCCATCTTCTTCATGGATTCCTGTAGTAACTAGGGTTCTACAATCTCTGAGAATCTCAGATAAGGCTTCGAGCTTTAGGTACATATCGGCGTATCAGTGCTACGGAGCGTAGTAAAGGTCCGATCAATGACGACCTTAAACCCGTTTGACCTTCTCGGTGACGGTGATAGCGAGGATCCCGTGGAGCTCGCCGCCGCTCTTCCTGTTCCTGTATCTCAACCCTTGAAGCCACTAGGTTAGTGTCAATATCACGAAATTGTGCTGTATGTTATTATTCTGGGTTTTAATTGTGTCGCTGGCCAGTCTCTATGTTTACATATAATAATCGTTTTCAGGATTCTCTATGCAGTATTTGATGCCTGTTAATTGTGATTAATATTGATAATAATGATCATGTATTTGTGTGTGTACTGAAGTATTTTTCTGAAGTCAGGATGCATCAAACGTTTCACGCTTTATTTTGTTTATCAATGTAAAACACCTTTCATTTGTACGTATTGTACCCTGGAATAAAAATATATGGAGTATTTACTAGCAGATCATGCACATGTTTTTTTCTTTTTAATTTTTTACTTGATTTGTTAGAATATTAAACATTTCATGTCCTTGAAACAATTGCTTGCCCATTTGTCTGCATTCTCCAGCTGTACTGATTTCTTGGTTTTTCTCACTGATGATAGAGAGATGATTTCATGACTTTGTGTCTTGATAATTTTTACCAGCCAAAAAAGCCAAAGATGAATTAAAACAAGGAGGTCCACAAGAGATTGATGGAGATTCTTTTGACAATGGTAATACTAATGGAAGCAGCAATGGGTTCTCAGGTGGTTATGGGCAATCAGAAAATGGCAAAGGAAGAAAGCAGCTAGTGAAAATGGACTATGGTGATAATGGTGGAAGGCCATATGAAAGAAAGGGGGGCTATGGTGATAATGGTGGAGGGACATATGAAAGAAAGGGGGGATATGGTGATAATGGTGGAAGGCCATATGAAAGAAAGGGGGGCTATGGTGATAATGGTGGAAGGACATATGAAAGAAAAGGGGGCTACAGTGATAATGGTGGAAGGACATATGATAAAAGAGGGGGCTATGCTGACAATGGTGGAAGGACATATGATAAAAGTGGGGGATTTAAAACATCAGACGAGGGAGAGGGTGACAAGTCATTTGAAAGAATAGGTGGCTATGGCGGTGATGGTGGAAAGCCATATGAAGGGCGAGGGGGTTTTAGGCCTTCAGAAGACAGAGGTGGAAGGCCATTTGAACGAAGGGATGGCTATGGTAGAGGTGGTAAGCCATATGAAAAGGCTTTCAATGTGGTTGAGAGCTATGGCGGTGACGGTGGAAGGCCACATGAAAAGAGAGGAAATTACAGATCTTCTGAAGAGGGAGATGGAAATCAATATGAAAATAGAGGAGGTTATAGACCTTCAGAAGAGACTTATGGTGGAGGTGGAAACCGGAATGATGGTAGAGGGGGATATGGTGGAGGTGGAAAGCCGTATGAAAGGCAAAGAGGTTATAGATCTGCTACTGAAGAGGGAGAAATGGGAAAGCCATTTGAAAGTAAAGGGGGAAATAGTGGGTCTCGGGGTGGCTACCATGGCAGTCGACGTAATGGTCCACTCAATGGTGAAAATGCTGACGGGGAACAACCTCGCGGGGCATATGAACGCCATAGTGGGTCAGGAAATGGGTATGTGAATTATCATTGAATTTTCTGTTTCATGTGGTTGTACTTTTGATATTTATTACTTTGTTCTCCATGCAGGAGTGAAATGAAGCGGAATGGTTCTGGCTGTGGGAATTGGGGAACTCCTACAGATGGTGTTTCTATGTAATGATGCAATTTCAGCTTATCTTTTATATTGTTAAATTTGTAACTTTGTATGGATTAAACCTGCACATTGCACAAAATGGATGGAAGATATCTAATTTATGCTTCACTGGAAATCATTGGTTAAATTTATCAAGCAAACTTTTTTGACAAGAGTTCCCAAGCGTAAAAAACATAACAAAATATTTGCCAGTTGCCACCCCATCCCCATATAAGTAAACTATTTCAATGACATTCATGTGCCCAAAATAAAATTATTTGAAAACTAAATGTTAGGTGCATTTTGTAAATAAACAGTTTACAGAACCTAGGGCATTGTGTTAATTTTTTTTGAATATATTTTTATTTATCAAAATTCAGGGAGCCTGAAGAGTCAATGAATGAAGGTACGAAAACTGATTCATTTGAGAAGCAAGATGAGCAACCAGTTGCAGGAGATGCCAATAAAGGCTCTCGACCTGAAGAACAAGAAGTGAAAGAGCCTGAGAAGAAGGTAAAGGCCGTGTTTGGAAAATAGCATTTCGGATAGCTTTTGGCATCTTTGACTGACTTTGGCTTTTTTGACCAAGCGAACCGCCAAAACCATTGTTTGGCTAATGGCTTTTTCACTTGGCATTTTGATCCGAAAAGCCAAAATCTGAAATGCCAAGGGGAGTAGCATTTGGACTTGGTGGTTAGAAAAAATAATTTTTTTAAAATCATTTTTGTTGAAAGATATTTTATAATATATGTAAAAAATAAAAATAAAAATAAAAATAAAAGTTAATTTTACCAGCTA